TGCACTCCTTGCTCGCCGTGTCGCCCAGGATGTAGGTGTACGTCGACGAGCCGCCGCCGGGCGCAAGCCCGTCGAAGAGCTGCACAAGAACTCCGAGCTCGTGGCGGTGGAGTGGCTGGCCGAGCGCTGCGAGCGTCGTCGGCGCGTGCGTGTCGACGCCGCCCGCGTTGAGGACGTGGCTGTAGCTGTGTGCCTCGAGGAAGGCCTTCGCTAGGCCCGCGCGTCGCCCAGTTCGGCAGTAGAGGATCAGAGGGGAGGATCGATCGGCTGGGAGGGCGGCGAGGGACATGGTGTGTGATTCTGTATCCCAAACGGCCGAGATCGCATGCGCAGCCCGGGTGAAGCCGCCTTCGCGCATCTCGGACGGTACGAGCGGGCGCAGGTCGACGGTGGTGGCGCCGGGGCGCGCCACGGCCGATCGCACCTCGTCGACGGTGCTGACAGCATCGGGACGCGCGCGGGAGGCGAGGCGGGAGGGGCACAGGGCTGCCCACGCAGGCGCGGCCAGGCGCATGCCGAGAGCGACATTTAGCAGAAGGAGCCAAAGCCCAGGTGCGAAGGGTGCCGCGCCGAGGCCGACGAGGTGAGGGCCGGGGCACACGCCGATGAGACCCCAGCCGGTGCCGAACAAGGCAGCGCCGACGATCAGCCTCAGGTCGACGGCTTGTGGCGCGGCTGTGTCGCTGAAGGCCGACGCCTCAGCCACGCCCAGCCGGCCCGCGAGGCGGTAGAGGCTGAATGTCACTGCGAGCGCCGTCATGAAGAGCACCCAGAGGGTGCCGTCGAAGCGCGCGGGCGACAGGGCGCCCACTACGGCCGACGGCCGCGTCATGCCGCCGATGGCGAGCCCGACCGCGAAGCACGTGCCGCTCCATAGCGCGGCGTATGCCTCCTTGAGAGTCCTGTCGGCGCGCGAGAGCACGGCGAGCGGCAACAGCGCGACCGCGAGCCCGCCGCCAATCTGCGCGGCAAGCGCAAGCACGGCAGGCTCGGCCGCCGCGACGGGCACGATTGGGCCTCGCGTCCCGTTGCGCAAGGTTGCGGTGACGATGGCCACGGCCATGAAGGTCGGCACGGCCACGAGTGAGCGCTTGGAGAGGCGTGAGAGGCCGCTGAGGCCGTGTCCGCTCGTGCAGCCGTTGCCAAGCGCGGTGCCACAGCCCACGGCAAGGCCCGCCAGGGCAACGAGCGGAGTTGATGGCGGAGACGCCTCAAACGCCGAGGGAAGCGCCGCGGCCATGAGCGCACCACCGCCGACGAGGCCAGCGAGGTAGCTGAGCTTGGAAGGGTCGCGCGGGCCGAGCACAAGCGCCTTGAGCGCACCACTGTTCCCAGCAACACGGCGAGCGAAGAGCATGTAAAGCCCGCTCGCACAGCCGATGAAGAGGCCGCCCACGGCGGCTTGCAGCGGCACGAAGGCCATGCCTTGGCGATGACAAACCAGCTGAATGAAGACGCACGTCGAGATACCGCATCTCGGGTAAACTGCTTGCTGTGACCTCACTCATGTTGGTGTCCAGTCCGAGCCTGACTGTTGTTCATCTTTCCACATACAATACATACTGATCTAAAACCGACCAATACTGATCTAAAACCTGGAAACCCTTGTTCAATGCCGACCCTAGCGCCATCATTTCCTGCTCTCACCTGATGCTGCTTCCCCGCGCCGCCTCCTTGGCCCCCTGGGGCGTATTTTCTACTCCCCACGGGGTCCAGGACGCTAACAACGCCCCCGATTGGCACCTCGACTACCGAAGCACGGCGAGTCGAACGACCCAATCACGACCACTCGGCATCGCTGCCATGCAACAGCTTGTGCAGACGGAAAGCGATGCGAGCGGCGGCCGCGATCAGCCACCTATGGGCGGTCACCGGGGTGACGGTCAAGCTCGCGACGGGGTGAATCTGGTGCGTCTCGTATCACTGGTGGGCTGGGTGTGCAGCAGCAGCGCTCAAAAAGAGGCAAAAAACTCGACAACTGTTTTGACTGTCAGCTCTCTCGACACACCGTCCTCGACCTCGCTGAAAAGCTGGCTGGTGGTCGCGCGCAGCGCGTCGGCGCCACTCCGACTGGTCGGGCACCTCGGCTGGGTCCATCAGCACGAGGCCCGCCCCGTCGGGGAGCCCCGCGAGCGCATGGGCGGCCGGCGCGAGCGGAGAACGACGGGCTGAGATCCGCAGCTGTGCCACGAAAATCACAAGGCGCCAAGGGGGGGGGGGGGTGGAGCCTCGGTACCCTAGACTAAGCGCGCGGCCGCCGGGCGCCTCCGAACCGACATAACAAATTTCAGAATTTTCAAAATTTCCTGAATTTCGATCCCGACCATTGCATTCGAAAGCTCTTGGCGAAAGCATCTCCTTGGCGGTACTCCAGAGGCCTGAAACCATGAAAATTGAGCCGTTTTTAGAAGTGCTTCGAAAAGGTCAAAAAACGATCTTTTGGCCGGGTGGGTGGGCAAAATAAGCATCTCCATGGCGGTACTCAGGCCTGAAACCATGAAATGTGCCCAGTTTTTGAAGAAACCTCGAAAATCGAACTTTTATCCGTTTTTAGAGTCGTCTGGGGCGGTGGGCGGGCGCGCGGTGCGGCATGGCGTGTGCGTGTGCGCGACTGCAACGAAGGACCGCTCGCAAGGGACCATTGGGTTTGTACTATTAAGGTAGGTAGAAAGGTGAAGAACAGCCAGGCTCGGACTGGACACCAACGCGGTATTAACAACTAAGGCGCTCTCAAAAGAATTTCAGGTCGACTGCGAATTCAAGCAGTGAGCCCCGAGCTGACCGTGCCCGCTTACCGCAGGCCCATGTTTTGGAAGAGCAAGGACAAGGACGACGGCCCGTCGCCAAAGACGCTCCGGCAGCCGCTCTCGCCAAAGCCGCCCAACGCCGCCGACGCGCCTGCGGTGGCCGAGGCGACCGAGGTGTGGGTGCCCGACAAGGAGCGGGTGTGGGTGCGCGGCCGGGTGACTCGGCAGGTGGGCCGCTCCGAGCTCGAGGTGGAGACGGAGGATGGCGTCACGGTCGCTGTCGACCTGGCGCGGCACGACACGCTCCACACCGCCAACCCGTCAGCAGAGCAGGACATGTGCTCGCTGTGGCACATGTCGGAGCCGGCGGTGCTGTCGAACCTGCAGCTGCGCTTCGCGGCCGACCAGCCGTACACCTACGTCGCCCACCTCCTCATCGCCGTCAACCCGCTCAAGCCGATCCCCGACCCCGCCGAGGCGCGCACAGCCACGCCGCGCCTCCTCCCTCCCGCCGCCACCCTCACACCTCGACGGCGTGTGCTCTCGACTCGCTGCCACCTCTCCGCTCCGCCCGCCCGCAACGGCGCCGCCCGCCCCTCACCGGCCGACCTCGCAGGTGTCGTACGAGGGCGCCGCCTCTTCCGCCGCTCTCGCCGCGCTCCCGCCGCACCAGTTCGCCGTCGCCGAGCGCGCGTACCGCGCCCTGCTCGCGCAGCCCGCCGCGGGCGGGGGAGGGCGGCAGGACCAGTCGATTGTCGTCTCGGGCGAGTCTGGGGCGGGCAAGACGGAGTCGGCGAAGAAGCTCCTCCGGTACATCACCTGGCGCGTCGCGTCCGCCGCCGGAGGGACGAAACACGACCGCCGGCGGTCGGTTGGCCAGACACACGCGGCCGCCGCGCTCAACGCCCGCATACTTGATTCGTCGCCGATCCTCGAGTCGCTGGGGAACGCGAAGACGGTGCGCAACCACAACTCGTCCCGCTTCGGCAAGTTCACCAAGATCGACTTTGACGCGCGCGCCGCGCCCAAGCGGCTGCGCCTAGTCGGCGCGTCGGTAGAGCGACGTAGGGCGGCGGGGCGGCGGGGCGGCGGGGGGGGAAGGGGAGGGGCGGGGAGGGGCGGGGAAG